TCTTCCCAACTAATTGGGAGCCGAAAAGCACCAATGAGAAACATTCGGTAGGATTTTGAAACGGGTAAATCCATACCCCAAATTTGCACCTCAAGTCCTATATACAAAGATAATTTATTTAACAAGAAAAAAAATACTCAGCTTATATATTAACTTACCATGTATATGGAAAAACCACGAGCGTAAACGTCTAAAAATTTTGTAGTCACTGCGATTATATTTCCTAACTATGTCATTTAGAAGATCGCGACAGCCCCAATATCCTTTCACATGATCTTTTAAGTATCTTGGCAAATCCGAGGTTAAGTAACCACCAGAAAGCTCCACCATGCCTATTTCAAGGCCTTCTTCACCGGGGGAATGAAATGAACCGTCTATTTTCATACCTAGAGGCTTGTCATCGTCAGGTTTTAGATTACGTCGTAATAATCTCTGATTTGCACTAGCCTTTAGATAAATTTCGCCTCTATTTTGAAAAGAGATAATCACATTTTTAATACTGTAAAGAAGAACGAAATATTAATTTGGTGTTTGATTCAAAAAACGTACGGCACATATATAACGCGGTCAGTTGTGTTAGTAAGGTACTGCAACATTGGATGAATCATTAGTGAACCCAGGAGTGCTTCATTTTTATTTTTGCTATGGAAAGCCGACGCAGGGTTAAATACATTTTTCGTGCTTCAAATTAAATTTGTTAATTAAATAGTGAAATAAAAAAAAAATAAACAGTACTATTTTTGCAGAAATCTATACTCACAACCATAAAAAGACATCCGTTACAAATTCCATTACCTTATCGTTCTCATTTTTAAACTTGGCTTTACAAACACATTGCTTATACTCCATTAACGAGTTCTATTGTTAATTAGCAAATGTAAATAACATTATCATTAAAGATAAAGATTAATTTGTACTTACAGTCTCTAATAATTCTTTAACGAGGTTTTCTACATTAGAAGTCAGTTTATAATTCGGATATTCAATGCTAGTTTGTAAATAATTCCAATCTTTTTGTTCAATCCACTCTGGTTTACGAATCTTTGAACCAATACGTATGATACCAAGGCATGATGGGCTACATATAAATGCAAAAATTAATATGTTGGATCAAGACATGAAGAAAAGAAACGAAGATTATAAAACTTACTGTGATTTATGCAGATTTCCAGGTCCACGAATTACTTCATCAATCGGTTTTCCAGAAGGCAATAACCAAATATTATCTGGACTGTCTTGATCAGGGTACTTTGAGTGATTTTGTACAGGTATCTGTTGCTCCAATAAGTCGGACTCAATGTTTGGATCTATATCATGATTACTATAATCTATTTCATCATCTGTCTCCAATGAAATCATAGAGTTTTCTGAAGTTGACTGCATTCGATTTTCCT